TGTCCTGTGAGGCGAAGAGATCGAGGACTGGTTGACCGAACCTGTGGATGATGGATGAGAACAGGTTCGGGTGAAGCCCCCACTCCGAAGGGTCCACCGTGGCACGACTCAAAAAGTCCGCTTGTCGGTTGTCGACCCCCGAGATGTGTTCCGCCCTGAGTGATCCCAGGTTGGGTTCCACCCAGGTGAACATTCGTCTCGCCTCCATCAGGGATCTGGACCGTGTGCCCCCCTGACGGTTGACGTGTGCCTTGGCCGCCACGTTGTCCGTGCGGACTAGAACGTGACGGTCCTTGATCGAGTGTCTGAAGTGAAGCAGGGCTAGATGTATGGCCCTGAGTTCCAACCAGTTGATGCTTTTCTGCAGATCCCTGGCGGACCACCGCCCCTGAGCTAACTGGGAATTCAGATGGGCACCCCAGCCATATAGGCTGGCATCCGTCGTGATGGTGACACGGTCCGGTTCTTTGAACAGCGACCCCTGGGTCACTGCTTGAGACCACCACCAGCGGAGCGCCCTGCGAACAGGTAACGGAACCCTGACCGAGCGACTGGAGGCGCTGGCATTCTGACGTTGGAAGGGGAGAAGGAACCACTGCAGGTCCCGCAAGTGCAGTCTGGCCCAGGGAACGATGGCTATGCAGGAGACCATCTTGCCTAACAATTGTGAAAGTGTCACCAGGGGAACTGAGCGCTGTCGGAATACCTGTCGAGCCAGTTCCATCACGCTGACCGCATGCTCCTGGGAGAGATAGACCATGCAATCTGATGTGTTGATAATGGCTCCCAGGTGTTGCAGCCTGGATGAGGGAACTGTGTGGCTTTTTTTGAGGTTTACCGAGAATCCATGTTGTCGAAGAGTGCAAATGGTGGTGTTCACGTCTGCTTGGGCCGCCTGGAACGACGTTGCTTGAATGAGGATGTCGCCCAGGTAACATTGGACTCTTACTGGAATTTTTCTTAATTGAGCCGCTACCACTGCCAGTACCTTCATGAACACCCTGGGCGCCGACGAGAGGCCAAAAGGAAGCGCCCTGTACTGGTAGTGTTTGCCCTTGTAGCAGAAGCGTAGGAATCGACGGTGAGCCAATAGAATTGGAATGTGCAGGTACGCTTCTGTGAGGTCTATCGACGCCAGGAAGTCGCCCTGTCTGATGCCCCCCAGGATGGACTGGAGGGATTGCATTTTGAATTTCTTGTAGATTACATAATGGTTCAGATTTTTTAGGTCGAGGATGGCCCTCCATCCCCCCGAGGTTTTGGGAACCACAAAGAGGATGGAGTAGAACCCCTTGCCCCTGTATTCCAACGGCACCGGTTCTATGACGTGAATGTCCATTAGGTGTTGGATGGCCTCCTGCATTAGCCTGTGTTTGGCAGGGTCCCTGGATACCGAACAGGCGGTGAAACGATCCGGGGGTGTGGTTAGGAATTCCAGGGACAACCCGTGTTGGATGGTTTGCAGGATCCAGTCGTCCGTGGAGGTCTGTTCCCATTGGTGAAAGAAATGTGTTAGTCTTCCTCCAATGGGAAGAGCTTGTGAAAAGTCATTTGGCCTTGCGGTAGGGCCGGCCGGCCCCACGAAATGGCCGCTTGGACTGGTACTGCTGCCTGGGTCGGGAGCCTGGCCTATCATATGGGGGGTCGTATGGCCTAGCCGACCTCTGGTTGAATGGTCTAGTAGGTTGGGCGGCAGGTGCCGCCTGTTGACGAAATGGCTGCCTACGAAAAAAGGGCGTGGATCTTTTGTCAGATCTTTTGTTTAGGTGGGCCATCACTTTCCGCTTATCTTTATTCTCTACGAGATAAGGGGCGAGGGCATCCCCAAACAGGTTGCCACCCAAGTACGGGGCGGTCGCTAAACGCCACTTGGCTTTGGTATCGGCCTGCCAATGTTTCAACCATAGCATCCTTCTGGCAATCATGTTGGAAGCTATGGTTCTGGCAGAAAACACTGCCGATTGTAGTGTCGCATCCGCCGCGTATTCTGTGGCAGCGACCATCTTGGCCAGGTCCTGGTGCGTTCTGATGTCTTCAATGGGCACCCTAGCCTGTAGCTGTTGAAGCCACAGAAGGGTAGAACGCACAAAAAAGGATGCCGAGGTTGCCGTTTTGGTGGCCCACGCCGCCGACTGGTGTGTCTTGCGGAAGGTCTGCTCCCACCTCTTATCGTCGGCTTTGAGTGCCTCTAAGAGATCCCCCGCCACAGCCGTCTGGGAAACTAAAGGGGTCCAGGCCTCATCCACCTTGGGAACGTCCAGTGCGTCGGAAAGATCCGTGGATGTTTTGTACAATCTTTTATCCGAATTGTTCGCAGAGGGGAAAGAGGAAGGGGAAGCCCATTGCTTTTTAATTTCTTGTAAAAAAATTGAGGGGCACGGGACGTGGTGTTCTGTCACCGCTTTTTGGAAAAAAATTGGCCTGGGCGCGGATGTGGGATCAGTTTGAGGTTGTGGAAACTGATCAGTCCCTATGTTCGCCGTGGCCGTGGCTTTACGTAGAATAGTGAGGAAATGGTTGGGATTGAATAATCCCCCCGAGGAAGATGTCTCAGGTGGGAGCTCCTCGTCCTCTGAAAAGGTAATCTCGGGTGGTTCCTCCTCATGAGGTGATGAGTAACCACTGCCAGAGGACTGGGCCGGAGAATCAGGCCCTCGATCCGCCAAGCACTCCATAGGGGGGCCTAATGAGTGAGCGGACAAGTCAGTGGCTTCCAAATCGCGTGGACGTGAGCGCTGTGTCAGAGCTCTATCCACCACCTTGGCTAATAAAGCCTCCAGACGCCCGTCCGAGAAGATNGAGCCGACGGGCTCGGGGATGAAACCCGAAACGGCGGCTTGGTGACCTGAGGCGGAGGGCAGAGGTGACGCCACCGACATACTCGGAATGGACCATACCCCCTGACTAGATGTTGATGGACCCAGTGGTAGCTCCATCTCGGTGGCCGCCATGCCGTCCAAATCCATTTGGGCTTGCCTCTGTGCCCTGGAGAACTCCTCCAGGGCCTGGTGCCTACGGCTGGCTTGCTTTTCCGCCAACTTGGAGGACCTCTTAGCCGTGTGCTTGGTTTTGGCTTTGCACTTGCCTGCCGCCTTCTGAATAGGAGGATTGCAGCCGTGACCGGGAGGTGGAGGATTCGCGCCTGAAGACTGGGGCAACGAGGGTCCTTCCATCCCGTTTGAGCAATCTCAGGACGAGGCGCTGAGATGAAGCTCTGGCAGGCAAGTTGTTGGCGGAAGCGGTACTGGAGCAAGTGCGCGGACTGCCCCCCTGGTCACCCGACCAATGAAAATTCTCTCTGGACTATGGTCACGGTGGTTGAGGCAGAGCCGAAGGCACGTTTGGAACCACTGATGGGCTCCTCCCGGAGGCCTTAGATGACCAGGCAATGTGCACCAGAAAAATAAAAAGCCAAAAAAATTGTCAGGACGCCCGATGCGGAGGTCCAACTCTAACAATTTCAAGCGCAATGGCGGCTACCGGGGTGAAGGAAAAGGGGAACCCACACTCAGCTGAATTTTCAGGAGGAGCTTGCTGCCAGGCCCTTTAGGCCTGAAGGGAAGTCCCCCCACGCTGGGCCTGCTGCACTCGCGACCCTGTGGTTCCCTGAAGTGTTCAGAGGGTTGATTTGACTGCTGGTGTTGAGACTGAGTCACAAAAAGTCGGGCGCCAACAATACTTCAAGATGGCGGCCGCGACCTTCCAGGAGGCCGAAACAGGCCTCCGAGAGCTCTAGCCCTCTGTCAGAGACCAGCAGAGTGTCAGGGGAACCTCATAAAGGCCGCAGGCCGAAAGGCTGAAGTTTTGAAGCAAATTTACGGGCGCCGAAAATGCGGCCAAAATGGCGGCCGCGACTTCAAAATGGCGGCCGTGACTTTTCGGGAGGCCGAAAACAGGTCCCCTAAGGTTCTAGCCCTCTGTCAGAGACCCGCAGAGTGTTACAGTGGGCAGGGGAACTTCAAAACAGTCGCAGGCCGAAAATTGAAGTTTTGAGGCAAAATTTTCGAGCGCCGAAAATGTGGCCAAAATGGCGGCCGCAACTTGTAGAGAGGCCGAAAACAGGCCTCCGGCGATCCTATGGCCTGGCAGGGACCCTGTGGGGCGATGTCAGGCCCAGGGAAATCAATAACAGCAAGGTAGCAGCAATTTGGGAACGAAGGAATTCGTTGTTTTGCTGAATAAACAAATGTCAAAAATGCAGCCAAAATGGCGGCCGCAAGATTCCGACGGTTGAAATGGACTCCGACAGGTCTGGAAAGGCCTGGGAGGAGTCCTGATCTTGTCTGTTCCCCTCAAGATGTTTGAGGGAAAAATCCTGGGCAGGTGGAGAAAAAAATCAACAAGCAGTCTCTGTTGATCTTTTACCTCCCCCCCCCCCACTTTAATTGAGAATTTGGGAGAGATGAAGGAAGGGAAATTCCACCCCCCTCCTCACCCCTCACTTCCAACAAGCTGCTATCAGCCTGGGGGAAGTTGCATTAATCCCTGATTTAAGTATGAATTTTTTAGATAGCCAATTTGAGGGAGACTTCACCAATGGATTAATAATTGTCTAACCTGATCTAGCAGAGAGCCAAGCCAAAACGAGTCATCAAGAGCGGAGACCAAGTTAAGACTGGGTTACCAGTAGGAGGGGGCGTGACAAGTTTTGGATACTTGGTCTCAAGAGCAGGCAGACAAAGAAAACCCATTGGTGGAGTCTCCGTCTCCTGTACTGGAGAATGCAGTAGCGCAAGCTACTGCTGCTGACTGCCGGCTGCCAACAGTTCGGCAGTTCAAATCTCACGGGCTCAAGGTTGACTCAGCCTTCCATCCTTCCGAGGTCTGTAAAATGAGGACCCAGATTGTTGGGGACAATATGCTAACTCTGTAAACTGCTTAGAGAGGACTGTAAAGCACTGTGAAGCAGTATATAATTCTAAGTGCTATTGCTATTTTAATTCAGCAAGTAAAATTTTGAAAAGGCAATGAGAAATATTATTCTCTTCCTTGCCTACTTATATGTCTGAATAGAAATTTTCAATAGAGTCATTCTTTCTTAATGAAATGAAAGATAGGTATTGTATAAAGGAGTTAATACTTACTGTGCTGCTCCTTCCCTGAGAAGATTGTCATTATTAAGTAGCAATCGAACATCTGAAAAATACTGAGCATTAGTATATGGTGAATATACTGGATATAAACCCAGTCAGAAAAATATATGCTAATAAATACAAAATATCCATCTCAAATGCATGCCAACCAAACTAAAGGTTTTAAATGCTACATATTTGGTACCAGTTTGTATATGGATGAATATACTTCTTGAAGTTTCAAAGGAAATACCATTTAAATTTTCTGGGGATCTGTGCTATATTTAACTGGACATAACTTTGCAATTCTGGCCAAAAAATTGAACAGATTTGTATATAATATAATAACTATAGTATTAAAAAGCTTAAACAAGCAAGCTATAGAACAAAATATAACAAGCATTTAACCGCTGAAATTTAGAAATTCAATCAAAATTTCTCCTTACATCCCAATATACACATAATAAAGTTCAATGTTTATTGTGAACTGTCAAAATCTGCACTTTTATAAAGAAAGAATGTACCACATAGTAAGCTACAATGGCATTATGTTCATGGACACTAATATATAGCTAAGGACTAAAGAACTAAAATGTTTTAAAGTTGAAACAGCAGATTGTCCCAAGGTTGGAGCACTCAACCTTGAAACATTTTACACATTTCTAGTATTTACTACAGGAAAGAAAACATCAATTTGCAGTAACAGGGCTGAAAAAAATAGTCTGGCATTCCGAAGCTCTTAGTTCCTTTTACCAGCTCTAAAATGTTGCCTAATTGTCACCTGCCATCAGCTCACACTTCAATGGGTCTTCATGTAAGTTGATGTTACTTCTTTCATATATAGCAATTGATCACTATCTCTAAAAGCACCACCAAAACATCAAAGGCTATAACAGTGGTGGCGAGCCTATGGTACGCGTGCCAGCTGCAGCACTCAGAGCCCTCTCTGTGGGCACACGCCCTGTCGCCCCAGCCCCGCCTCCCCCCACGGCCCCCTCCACACCAGCAGCCCCCGGGTGCAGTCCACACGGAGCAGCGCAGCCAAGGACATGGCAGCCGGGCAGCAGGGACAAGACTCTGCCCTCATGCTCCATTGCGTGCAGATGATGCTGGGGGGCGTGGGCGGAGAGCATGGCTGCCATGGTGCTATAGGGCCACCTGAGTGATCTGCAGCAGGCCACGGAGGTGGTGGGTGGCCCTGCGGGCGGACGGGGGGATGGAGTAGGGGGGCAGGAAGGTTTTTGGGCACTCGGTCTCTAAAAGGTTCGCCATCACTGGGCTATAAGATAAAACTAATAACAGCTATATGCTTCTTTGATTCATAGGTTTCAGAGGAAGAAAAAAAATGGGGACAAAATAATGACTAAAAACCCACTGGAAAGTGTTTATGCAGGATTAGAGGCAATAGAATCACTCTGAGGTTGTCTTCCTCAAGACCGGTACCATTTTAAAATGCCTTATAGCTTGATAACCGCCAGTTTCAATTTTAAGACAATTAGTGCCTCTAGAAAATTATGTTAAGTCTATTCTTTTTGCTAACACTTCTTCAGCATCTATCGTGGCCAATCGTTTATTAAAGTCATTTTTTAAAAAAATATCTCATTCTATATCATTTTCTCAAATCCCCTCAAACTCTTCATAAAAGGGAGATATGCAGATCTCTTAATTAGAGCTTGAACCAATGATGAATTCTACAGCTTAGTCCCCCACTGTAACAAAGAATATGGACACAGGGGAGGACTAATTATACTGTATTCTAAATAGAACATTTCTAACGTATCTTATAACTTTAAGCTTATATTCAATATACCTTCTTTTCAGAGCTAACAATACAGAAATTTTAAAGAATAGTCAATCATACACACATTTATCTTCAGTTAAACAGAAACTTTGAAAAGTAACTCAAAAGCAGATGTGTACAAAATGCTTCTAATTTAAACTATTTCATATGCAAAGTCCTGCTTCAAGCTTGACAAAATCAAATCTTTATTTTGTTTAAGGATACCCAGCATAAGATAATATCAATAAGAATTACATCTATTTCAGTAATAGGGAAATCGATGACATAAAAAAGATTACTTACAAGACACTACAATATTAAAACACTAAGTATCTATATAAAAGTTATTAATTTTATTATTAAGACTAAGATTTACTAAGTCTTGATTTTAAACCAATTGTGCTCAAAACAAGCATTTCAAGCATCCTGGAAGTTTGGAACAGCAGCTTTGGATTCCAAACAAGATGCTTCAAATTTGAAATGACCAAACTTAAAACAGGACATTTCTATTTGAAAAACGGATGCTGCACTGTATATAGGCTATCTGAAATGAAAATCAGCATATGGCTTGCTCACCATTAAAGACCTCATTGAATTCTCCTGGTGGAGCGTGGATGATGAATTTTGCTGCTATGCGCACCTGGAATGAAAACAAATGGTATATTTTTCAACATAATTTGTAAAGGAAACAAGAATAGTGTTTTAAGAAAACTGAAGTGTATTAAAAGAACTGGATTTATTTTTAAAGAAGAAATGTAAGTATACCTTAATTCTACTATAGAATAGTTATAGAAGTTTGGTTATTAACTTAAATGCAAAAAACCTGCAGCAGCCATAACACAATTTAGACATAATACTCTGGGAGGTAAAGAAAATAATCATCTTTCAGGAATGAACTGCTTGAAATATCTCAGAACAATATTTCTCTCCAATTCAGTACTAACTTCAAAGGTAGGATTTTTGTTAACATTGCAATCAAAGACGGGAGGTTTACTTTTTCTCCTAAACTAATATGACTCATAATTATAAGCTGTCTCCCAATTATACTATTTAAAGCAGGTGTTTCTTTGTAATGAAATGCTTTGTCAAATGAATGAGCACAAAATAACAATACAATAATGTGGGTTAACTTTTCCAGTATTTCAGTAAACTGCTAACATGCATAACTTTTAACACAACTTTTAAATTCTTTTATTCTATCAAATGTAATACATAACATAAACATATTACTGTTAAACAAGAGATCGAGTTTTTTTGCAATTGTAAAAATGGCACTACCGGTATTTATAATCTCTTGTGACAAAGCAAAGAAATATTGGCACAAGACTTTCATTTTAATTCAGAAAATTCTTAAAATAAATATAAAATTAAAGACAGAAGTCTTCTTTTTAGGTCTCCTAGACAAAGGGCTTGAAAATTATTTTAAATATTGACCACAGCAAGAATTTTGTATGCACAGAGAAAGACACATCAATTCCCACAATGGAAGAATGGATGCTAAAGGTGATGGACCTGGTGGAGATGTCAAAATTGATTGCCTAAATTAAAGATAAAAATTTATCTAGTTTTTTTCCACTTGGAAACTGCTTCTGAACTTAATTCTCAAAACAGAAAAAATGAAAATTTGATTTTAGGTTTTTGTCTAAATTGACTATGTTGTTATAAAATGGTGTCAAATAATTAGAAATGTAAAAAGATTGAGTTTATAACTTTTCTTTTACCCTTTTTGACTTTTTTATATTTGTATTTTATCTCATAATAAACTTTAATAAAACTTCAGAATAGAGTTGGAAGGGACCTTGGAGGTCTTCTAGCCCAGCTCCCTCCCTGCTCATGCAGGAGATCCTATACCATCCTATACCTCTGATCTAAAGACTGTCCAAGCTCTTCTTAAAAATCTCCAATGATGAAGCACCCACAACGTCTGAAGGCAAGCTGTTCCACTAGTTAATTATCCTCACTGTTAGGAAGTTTCTCCTTAATTCTTCTCTCCTTGATTAGTTTCCATCCATTGTTTCTTGTCCTGCCCTCTGGTGCTTTGGAAAAAAAATCCCCCCCCCCCGCTCCTCTTTGTGGCAGTCCCTCAAATACTGGAATACTACTCAAATACTGGAATTTCGAAGAGATTTATTTCAAACACATTCTTAAAGTAACCCGTTAATAGACTGGAGTTAATGCAATCCTCTGTCCAGAGTGTCACGTCTTGAAAAGGTTTGATTGAAAAGCATAGAGCCAACCTGTCTCTTGTTATGCTAAAATGTGTTAGACTTTTCTGTGATTTCCAGATTTTTACAGCACAATAGACAGATAGAATCCCACTATTTCCCCAATATATTTAGGGTTGCTTTTGCTAAAGGACAGAATTGGCAAATAATTCTATTTTTGTTTCTATTGGTATGGCCAGCTCCAAAAATAAATTGACAGAACTTTCAATATGCAATATTTTGAGTTTAAATAAACCATTTTCCATCCATTGTTTCTTGTCCTGCCCTCTGGCGCTTTGGAAAATAAATTGACCCCCTCCCCTTTGTGGCAGCCTCTCAAATACTAGAATACTGCTATCATGTCCTCCCTAGTCCTTCTTTTCTCTAGATTAGCTAAACAAAAATCCTGCAACCGTTCTTCATATGTTTTAGTCTACAGGCCTTTAATCGTCTTAGTTGCTCTTCTTTGCACTTTTTCCAAAGTCTCAATTTCTTTTTTGACCAAAACTAGATGCATTATTCCAGGTGTGGTCTTACTTAAGCTTTATAAAACGGTACTATTGTGTTTCCCCGAAAATAAGACCTGGTCTTATATTTTTTGGGCTTCCAAAAGAGGCACTAAGGCTTATTTTGGGGGGATGTCTTATTTTTTTCACATAGAGGAGGCAACGAGCGCCGGGGCTAATGGGAGTGGGAGCACTGCTACCGCCGGCCCTGTCACATTGCTTGCCCACGGCCACAACGGGCCAAGCTTGCCCTGCTGCTGCTGGGATACTTCTTGGCTGCGGCAGGCACAATTCTGGCCGCCAAGCAGCTGCCCGTGCTGCTACTGACCTCGCGGGGACTCTTAATCCTCCTGGCAGTGCTGCTCTCAACAGCTCTGCTGGGCTGCTCCTGCCTAGTGCAGGGCAAGTCAGCTCAGATCTATGACCTCCAGAGAGCCCCACCTGCTACAGGCCTGCCAGGGCTCCTTTGCCAGTGGCCATCTGTAGACCTTACCTGCTGCCCAGCCCGCCGCCAAGCCCCGGCTGCTACCCAGCAGCCTCCACTATTTCCCACTGGAGCTGCCTCATGCACCCTGCATGCCCAGCAATGAGCCCCTCCTCTGCCCTGTGCGGCTTTGTTGGGTGTCTGGCAGGTGGAGGGAGGCAGCTCCAGCCCCCGCCACCTGCCAGGCTGGGCAGAAGGCAAGGTGGCAGCAGTAGCCGGCGGCAGCAGCTGGCGGCAGAGCAACTGAAGGTGAGGTAGAGGCTGAAGGCAGCCAAAGGCAGCCCCATGCATGCCTCGCACAGCTGGTATGAGAGCTGCAAGGCTCACCAGGGCCAGGGCACCTGCAGCACCGAGTAGGCATGCAGGCCAGCACACAGCAGCCCGAAGGCAAAGTGGCACAGCTCCACCAACGGCCGCTGGTGAAGGGGCCCTGGCAGGGCGGCGGCGGGTGGGGCACTTCAGAGGTCGTAGATCTGGGCCAACTTGCTCCGCACCAGGCAGGAGTAGCCCAGCAGGGAGGCAGAGAGCAGCACTGCCAAGAGGGCTAAGAGCTCCCATTGGCCAACAGCAGCATGGGCAGTTGTGCCAGTTGCTGCAAGCAAGTGGCAAGTGCATCAAAAGCGAAAGCAGACTACTCATTGAGTATGGTTTGTTAGCCAGTTACAAATCTATCTGGTGGTGATGCTGTCTATCCCACATTTTTGTAGCTTACCAAGAAGTAGGTTGTGGTCTACTTTGTCAAATGCCTTGCTGAAGTCTAAATATACTATGTCCAGTAGTAGCATTTCACTGGTCTACTAATTTAGTCACTTTGTCAAAGAATGAAACAAGATTAGTTTGGCACGATCCGTTTTTAACAAACCCATGTTGGCTACCAGTTATAACCTTTATTTGTTTCTAGATGTTCACAGATCTGTTTTTTGATTATTTTTTCCAGTATCTTTTTTCAGGTATCAATGTCAGGCTGATTGGCCTGTAGTTTCCTAGGTCTGGGTTTTTTTCATTTTTTATTATAGATTACCAAATGTAATCTACAATACAAATATACATATTACTGTATATAAGAAAATTATAGAGGTTTTTTGCTTAAGACATACAAAAAATAAGAAATGAGAGATGCTCCTGTTAACTTCTTCATGTTTATGACCACAACGGAAATCAATTTAGTTAAAAGCAAACCCATATATCATGTTCATGCCTTTATAAGGCAATAGCAATATTTACTTAGATTTGTATTTACAATTCTTGCAATACAGAAATATGCATAACTATGACAGAGATTTTGTGATCATTTATAATATTTGTATTCATATTATCAGTATATTTAGTAATAAACCAGTGATTATTCATAAGTATATACGCTGTAATATAAAGTAGCTTTTCTTTTTCTCTTAGGTTGCATTTTCAGCCTTATTTGTTTCATTTCTAATTTTTTTCATCTTAAAGAATGTTACAGGGAAGTGGTGGACTATTCCTCCCTCAGATATAAATAACATGAAAAACCAGGATAGTAGAACCTCATTGCCACATCTATCTCTATATTACTAAATCTCTCATGTTCTACCCTAAAATTAGCCTACCACAACAATTTTTGAATCAAGGTATCTCAAATCTGCTAACTGAAGGAATGCATAAAAAAATCTGGGATTCATTAATCCTGAAGAACTGAAACTTCCATGATGTCCAGACAAGTTTTATTCATAAAATTGTGGCCATTCCAGCAATCACACGATCATGATTTCCAACATTCCCTACATTTAACTAATTCTCTTCTGAAAAACCTCTGTCAAAATTTACTATCAAGTATTGGTTATCTTTAAGTATATTCCAGAGTTATTTTAAGGATATGTTATGTATCTGTAAGAACCTCATTAGTTTTACATTTGAATTAAGCATACTTGGGAGTAACATCTTCAGATGTTTTATCAGCAAGATGTAGAATGAAAACTGAGTAGGAACCTAAAGAGGGATAGGGGTGGGGGGGGTAAGATAAGGAAGGATCCCCTTCCTGACAGAAAACACCCCTAGGTATTAACCCTCCTAAATATAGAAGAAAGAAATAGAGGAAATTTTGGAAATTTTGGAAATGGAAAATGGAAAATCCACCAATGCCTAACTATACCTGCCTAGAGCCAAACTTGCAACGTCTGTCCTGGGCAAGATCAAGTCAAAGACTGGGTATCTATGGCCCAGGACGGGCGTGGCAACTTTGACAGACTTGATCTGATTGGGCAGGAATAGTCTACCCATTGGTGGATTCTCCATCTCCGAGTGCTGGAGAAACAGTTAAGACAGACACAGTTCCAGATTTTGTGCTACTTTCTCATCTTCCTTTAACATCCTATTTCTCATCCAAATGTCCAACTCAGGATTCCTGCTGATTTATTTACAATTCTTTGCAAATTTGTATTCAGAATATGCTACAAAATGCAGCGTGTTTTGAGGAAGTACGGTTCCTGTTTAAAATTGAAAGTTGCTTAATATTCCCCCATAAAACCTACCTAAATTATTTCCTCATACATTTGCATTTCCTCTTTACTTTAAACAAGCATAGAGTTGTGCACAGTACAATAACTTGGTTCCTAAGATAAAAGTACTGGAGGAAAGCTGCCCTTCACCTCTTCAATGATATTACCAACTACGGGAGAAAGGTGAGGCAAATATAAATTCCTTCTGTAAATTCTGTTTATACAAAGATTGTTCTCCTGGGCTCTACCTATCTAAGATCATGCATATTGCAAACAGGAGACTTTTTTCTCTTTTTTCTTCATAGATTGCTGTATTATCCATCAGAGAGACTTCTGGAAGATATTTTAAACTTCTACATAAAAACTGAATTTGTATATATTTCGATAGAGACAGTAAATCAATATTACATATTCAATTAAAATATCAATTTCATACTCAATGGCATTTAAAACTCATAATCTCATTTCTAAATAACCATTACAAAGCTTAATTTGCCTCATGATGAAGAAATTACTACTTAAGTGATCAATACCTATGATTTTTGTATTCTAGAAGAAAACAAGAGCTTTTGGGAGTACATCAAGAACAGTTTTCAGAGGATGCCTATGTAATATCTATTGTGTTATCAAGAATTTCAACCTAAATAAACAACCTAAAGGTAATATTTATAAATATAGTGGACAATAGTTGATTTATTAGGTCAGCGGTCCCCAACCTTTCCAGCTTGGCGGCCTGGCATGGGGCAGAGAGGGGGGATAGTTCTGTGTGAGTGGCAGGTATGTGCGCACCGATCCATTTGTACAAGCACCCACTGCTCTCACAAGTTCCCACTGCTTATGAAGGTGGAGCTGCATGTGTGAGAGCACAAGCACCCGCCACTCATGTGAGCGGAGCTGCACGTGCAGGTGCACTCATCTGCCGTTTATGCAGCCTGGTTCCAAATGGGCCATGGTCCACTAGTGGGTTGCGGCCTGGGGCTGGAGAGCCTGCATTAGGTTATCCTATCAGATATATATCCTGAAGCTGGTAAGGAGCATCAGAAATGTTCCTTCCTCTCCTCCTTTCCACTCTCCCGCCCTCTTCCTTTCTTCTACCCTCATCCGTCGTTCCTCCCATATTTATCCCTCTCTTTCTTTCCTTCCTTTATTCCTTCTGCACTGTTTCATCTTTCCTCCCCTTTCCTTCCTCCTTCCCTCTCTCAGATTCCTACTGTTTCCCCATTTACTGTGCTTGTGGGAGCTTGCAGGGAGCGAGTCATTGGGAAGCCAACAGGAAGTTGCAACTCCAAGACCAGTAGACAGCTAAGTTTGAGAGTTGAGAAGTGTGCATGGGTACGCGCACGTTATGTCACACATACTGGATAAGCATATAGGTGGGCGGTGTGAGTCAGGAAGAGTGCTGGAGAGATGCTGTGTGGGTCAGGGATGGAGCTTACAGGTCTCAGCTTGGGTCAGGAAGGCTTGCAAAGTGGGCGAGGATTCATGGAAGTATGCAAAAGGTATTGTAGGGATCAAGGAGGGCACAGGGGGAATAGCATGGATTGGGGAGAATAGCGTGGACTGTAAGGATACATAGGATTTCTAACCTTCCCTTCCTAGAAGACAGGTAAGTGGCTGCTGGTGGGTGAGAGAGGGAGCGAGGGATTTCCAGAATGGCTGGGAAACTATCAGGAATGTTTAAAATTAGGATCATGTGACTACAACAGCAGTCCAGCAGCTGAAAAAGCCACAACTTCCCCAATTTAATTTCCTCAGAAGTCATACAGCCTGGATTTTGGAGATATTCTGTAAATTAGTCCATTTGAGATACCTTGGAACAAAAATTGTTGCCCTGTGTTTCATTCAATTAAAGGTTATAGAGACAAGAGTTTTAGTTGTATATTAGACATCATTGGGTCATTCTTTCAGAGATATTTCCTTATTAGATTCCTCAATGTCTTCAACAGAACTTCTAATGTACTGCCTTCACTGGAAAAGTTGGGATACATTCAGAGATGTATATACCTAGAAAATAGCCCTTGTTGAACTAGATAGTAATCAAATATTAACATAGAAAATATTTTATGACATTCTGTATTAAGTGTTTATGATAATATTTGTCATAAAATATTTTATAAAATTTGCCAAATTTCAATTCCAAGGGAATTATGGGGTCACAGATTTTGAACACATTCTGTAAGTTAGTCTATTTGAGGTTCCTTGGCTCAAAAATTATTGCTCTATGATGCACTGTTTTGCCCAGTTAAAGGCTATGATAATGAAAGTTTTAGTAGTATATAGATTGATGTGAACTCAAGAGTCTATGGTTCCTACTGAAGTCACTGAATACAGCTATCCTTCTGGACACAAAACCTCTAGATCACAGTTCGGTTAATGTACAACTAAGCTTTTGATAAACTAAGCTATTTATTGAATAAATATAAATCAATTCAATTATTCATGAATTCTTTTATATTTCTTCAATTGGATAATAGTGGCATGAAAAGGAAGTTATTTCCTTTCAATTAACCAAATCAAGCTAAAGACCATCTTGCAAAATTTTGATCTGATCCTGTCCAGTGGTCATTTCCTTAACTGCGGTTTATTAAATCTACAATTGCCAAACTTAAAACATGTAGTTTGGATTCATGCAATTAGGTTTTATTGAACAAATTCACAATTAACACATCAAGTAACTTTCCTATATTATGGCTTACCAACTTGCATAAATCTAAACTACATGATTTAAGTTTGGCCATTGTGGATTCTATAAACCATGGTTAAAGAAGTGACACTTAGCATAATAGGAAGATCAAATCAAAATTTTGCAAGATGTTCTTCAACTTAGTTTGGTTAATTAAAGGGGAATGACTTCCTTTTCATACCAGTATATCAAATTGAAGGACAAATATAAAAGAATACATAAATGATTTAATTTATACTTATTCAATATCTATTGAATGAATAAAACCAGGGAAAAGAACCTCATACATCTTAAAATCTAGCTGTAAAACAACTTACACATTACAGAAGTAATGTGGGAATGTGATACCTGCATTTTATAAACGTACACATGTCAGAAGAACACGAGCCAGGAAGATGGTTCAAAAACATGCTTAGCAACGATTCATTATTAACTGGATTTTCACATCATGCTACATATAAGCCATCATTATAAATAATAACAGATAGATTGACAGAACAAAAGCAAATGCAGGTAGGCCACATTCTTTCCTATGTGAATCGAAACACTAAGTGAGCAATTTCTAGCATGGATCTGAGTAAAGGGGAAAGGGCATGCAAACTTTAAGACTCCTAGGAAGAAGTGATCAGGAAGAAATTATCCTTTAACCAGTCAGAATTACCCTCAGCACCAGATTAACAAACTGCACCTGGAAAACCCAAAATAGAAGCAGTGTGGGAGCCCCTTCCAAGCAAAACATTAGAACATATAATCAGATCTGCAAAATGATCCCTCAAAATTCGAGTCAAGGGCTAGACGTCAGAGAAGTCAGGGGCGGTAAAAAAAAAAAAAAGTGTCCACCAGAGCCACCTTTTGGAAATCACTTCATGCCACGAGAATAGATTACGGGCCATGATTAAATCAACTGAAGTGGGCTATGCCATCCACCAAGAAATTGCCCTAAACCGTTCCAGCGGCAAGAGAGGCGGAGGGACTAAACCCAGAGGCCGACGGAGAGAGAGGGGCTGACCAGGAGCAGGAGGAGCCCCTTTCTATCAGCCGGACTTCCTCCGGATCAAAGAGGAAAGGCAGATCCAGGGAGAGGCGAGGAAGGTGGGGTGGAGACACCCGATCCGCCGCGCCCGCTTTGCTTCAGCCCCAGCTCGGCGCCTGCAGCCTATTTTCAGCCATCGGACCGTACAAGGAGTGGAGAAGGCGGCGAGTAAAGCAGGCCTCGGGCAGAAGGAAAAGAACCTTTCCCAGCTGGCAGAGTTGACTTGACGGCTCGAGCCTGCTCCACATCCGCTTGCTTAATTTCTTTCTTTCTTCCTTCCTTGTCCCCGGGAGGGGGAGAAGGAACCGCCACCACTTCCTCCTCCTCCTCCCTTCTCCCCCAACGCGACCTTCTGCAGCGAGGGCTTTCTTTACCTTCTCCTCATCGGAGAGCTGGTCCTCCTGATCCGCCATCTTAGCTCCTGTCCGGTCAACGCACGAGGAAAAAAAAGAAGCCCCCGAGACTCCAAATCGTTAACTGGAGAAGGAAGAACAGCAGCAGCCACCAAGGCCCAGCCACCGTCTCCGCCCCTCAGTCAAGCAAGGAGGGCGGGGCTCGGACTCGGGGCGCGGCCTCGAGGCAAGGCGGAGGCGGAGAGGGACTCGCGCGCGGCGCAGCAAGCAAACGAAGGGAGCTGGAACGGAAGAGCATGCGCAAACGGTCTTCCGGGATTGAGGCCGTCATCTGCCGTACCGGGGTTTTTATTTTAATGGTCTCTCTTGTTAGGATTACGAGTTTAAGCCTTCGAGCGTTATGCTTAAATTCTTAATCGGGGGGAGTTTCAAATAACAATATCAATCTGTTCGTTTTGTAAACATTTAGCAGACTACCTGGGAAGCCTCTCGGCCCTGAACACGCGGTGCCAAGCTAACATGCAGGGAGGTGTCCCCTACCAGCCTAGCAACCCCGACTAGAACCCAGTCTCTGTTATCAGCTAACAAGAGAGTCCACCCTCTCTTCAAGCTTTGTTTTTCATTGTTTCAACAACGCCAATTGTCTCATATCATAATGCTTGTGGATACTTTGTATAACAAGTCTACTGAGTTCATAGGAGTTGTTAAAAGTGTCTGTGTATTGATGAGGTTGTAATAAAAGAGCACCTATGTCAATGGATTTAAATCAGTCATTAAATTTGTAATTGATAGTAATTACATGTATAAAGATTAAGATACAAAAAACGAGGGCTTGGCAAAAAAGCCAGTTGGGTTCACAAAAGATTTGGGTTCACAAAAAAATGTTTCTAGCAGGAAAAATGTTTTGATAAATAGATTATCTTTGAAATGAACTAAAATACATCATGGTCAAGTTGCACCTTAATTAATAGTAATGATAGAGAAGTAGCCATGATTGAAGGGGTTTAGGATATGGATTCTGCAATCTTGCTTTCTGTATGATGCTGAACTCAGAAGCTGAAACTATAATAGCCAGTGGGGAAGGTTAGAGGTTTAGGATGCTATAACTTAAGGGTCATACTTTCAATTCCATCTATAGATATGGCTCAAATAACTTTTTTTCTGTTTACTTTAGCGGTGTCCTACTTGTTTAAACAGAGGGTCATAATTAGGCAGAAATTGAACCATTGGTACCATTAATATTACCATCAATGAGTTTAATTCTTTTTATTCCAAGATATATAATACCCGTTACTCTAGCAATCTAAGACCCCTGTTGAAATTGGTAGTAAATTTCTGCTTTTCCCCCATTGAGGGATACTAATTGTTAAATGAAAGACCTTGGTATTGCCATTTCTGCTGCTTTTTTTTTTTTTTTTTTTTGTACCAGAGAGTGCTAGAGATACTGGGGATCTTGGTGGGCTCAAGCATCTCTCTGTTCATTCATATTACTTGCCTTTCAACAGGCCTTTCAAAACGCCAAAACAGGAATAGATATTTCTGCCAGGCATACAAAGTACTCTATTGGGAATGAAAGGGAAAGTGTTTAAATTATTCTGGTAAGCTACAAACCAAGGTGATTTATAAGTGTGTAATAATTGTGTGTTGCCAGGAGAGATCTAAGGCAAGATTGGGGAGAACAAGTTAATTGATTAATACAGTGGTCTCCCTAACTTTACTTGGTATATCTGAGCATGAGGATGTAACTCTATTCACCAAGGTGTAGTGATAGATTGCAGTTTATGGAGTAATTCTAAATTGGGTAATACTTTAAAGGAAAATGAGAATAAGGGCACCCCACTTTCTTTCAGAAATGAAGTCTGCAGAACTGAAGAGGTTTAGTGAGTGAGACTTGGGAGGAAGTTTATTGGCATTTCTTTTGGAAACTTATGCATGTGAGAAATCATTAAGGATTATTATGTGCTCTGAGTTGAATTGATCTCTACTCAATTTTTACTGTTAGAGTATTGTTGAAATTTGTGTCTGTTAGGTGCTTTCAATATCCCTTGGGGAGGGCTAAGGGATTCATATCAAAGCAGTAACAGGGAAAAAGAAAGAGGACTAACAACATAGGACAAAATTTATTACATTTTAAACCTATTCTGTCTTCTGTTTTCTTCTTTATTCATAACAGTTGGAATAGATTTAGTTGCTTGCCTTCTGATTTAAACAGGTAATAATTGCTGGAATTTTTATATGCCTAATGAGTTAAAAATAAAATTCCTTTGCCTGTCCACTTTCATGGGAAACTCATATGCAATTAAAAATAAAAACTAGTTGTTCATAGTGAACATAGGATTGGCACCTGCTGCTGCAAAAAGAATCTTAAATATTGCATGTCTTTGGGGATGGGCCAGATATATATTGCTCAAAAAAATAAAGGGAACATTTTACCATGGAACTGAAGGGGTTTGCGTTCCCTTTATTTTTGTGAGCAGTATACATATCTAGAGTCCCTCTTTTATTTTTGCACTAGGTTTATAGAGTTCACTGGCATTGTTTTAAAGTGCTATTTAATATAACCAGATTTAAAATCTAGTTCCAAACAGCCATGCCCATTGTCTAAATCTTTTGCTATTAGATATATTTGCAAATTATTAACTGTGGAAAAATTGCATGGAATGTGGAGTTGATCTATAGTTGATACTTTTTATATAAGGAGTAAGTAGATATCCTCTTGATGGCACTGTTGGTTTTATTTCAGCTTCAATTCTACAGTAAGCTGGTTTTGAAACCTTAATTGGTTTCCTTTTGAAAACAAGCATGCTGTTTCAACAGGGTCAGCATACATTGTTCTGGGCTCCAACTTTTATGTTTACAGCCATGTAATCAATATATTGGGAGAGTAATTAATGTTTAACTTCCATCCAATTGTAGATCAAATACCCAGGAAGTTCCTGGGTGGAAGTGTGATTTCTTTTGAAACAATGATACCTTTCTTGGAAGAAGAGGGAAAAAGAATAATTGGGATTTTTTTTTTAAGGTTACAGATGATTTTGTGCTGCAAAATACCTGTCTCAGTCTTAAGTTAATTGTTTTAATTAATAGATATATTAACAGATTTTTTCAATAAAAGAAATAACTATTCATGATAATGATTTGGTTATGTTAAAATATATCCTTTTGCTAAAGTTGTATTTAAACATTTAGTTTGCTGAATGAAAATCCTTACTAAAGAAAATATATAATATGAAGTTTTATATTTCTTGTTGTTATTCCTGTCCTCAATCCTACTCTCATTGTTCTGAAGTCACCCAATATATTTTAACATTAAGCTGCATTTTGTTGTTTCAGGTAACTCCACATTAAAGTCCATGGCAATTTCTTCCCATGGGCTATTAGGGTTGGCCACCAGCTGTAACAGTCCAGGAGGCTTTCCTGGCAATCATTTCACTGGGCATCCTGTAACATAGCTCTCCATGTCCTTGTTCATTTTAGGCCACGAGAAATGCCTTTTGGCGAGATGGAGGATTTTCACAAACTGGAAATGGCCTGCAGGTTTCACTTTGTGGCTCCATTGCAGGATCTGGGTTCTTAGGTTGTCCAGAACATACAACTTGTTCCCTTTCCATGCTAGGTCCTCCCTTACTATCAACTCTCTGGTGATTTTGAAACTACTCATCCTTCCCCAGGGCTTTCTTCTGGGTTAACTTTCTGGGTTAAAGTATTATTGGCTGGTTGAGGAAGGGTCAACAACCCTAGCCTCATGGAGCCTTGTGCTGCCAGTTGCCGGAGGGGATGATCGAGTTAACTATTTCTTCCTGGATACTTGGGGCAAACAGGAGGGTGCATCTGTGAGGAAGTTTCTCCCTCCGGCAAGTACCAAAGGGTAAAGTTGAACTGATTGAAGTACTGAGCCCATCAGACCTGCTTAGAGGATAGTTTCCTTGATCTTCAGGGCCTCAAAATTCTTGTGGTCTGTCCACACTTCAAAGGAGACCTTACTGCCTTCTAAAACTCTCTCCAGGTCAGCAATGCCCATCAGACCACATAAGCCTCCTTTTCCCACACCACCCAATGCCTTTCTCTGTCGCTCAGCTTCCAGGAGGTGTAGGCATACCGTTGGAGCTCCCCCCCATTCATTCTTCTGACGTAGGATGGCCCTCATTGCTATATCACTAGCATCGGCCTACATTACGAAGGGCTCCACTGGGTTTGGGTGCCTGGGGTCGGTTCTGCCGCAAAGAGCCATTTAAGCTTTTTGAAAGCTGCTTAACATTCCATAGTCCAATTGAGTGGCTGGCTCGATTTGGGTTTCACCCCTCCCACTCCCATTTTAGTAATTTGGTGATGGGTAGGGCTATTTGTGCGAATGAAGGGATGAATTGTCAGTAGGGCTTCCCACTCTAATACTGCTTTCACCTTGCCAAGATCCATGTCCATTCCCTTGCTAGATACATAATACCCTAATCCAGACTAGTTTTATGGAAGTCACACTTGGATAGTTTGGCATAAAGCTTAGCTTTCAATATTTTCCTCAGCACTTCTCTTGCTAGCTTCATGTGATCGTCCATCATCTCAGAGTAGATAAGAATGTCAACCAGATACACCAGCACCCCCTTGTACAGATGCTCATGCAGCACTTCGTTAATTAGTTGCATGAACATAGTAGGCGCTCCCTATAATCCAAAGGGCATCACCTAGAATTGGTAGCATCCTAAGGGGCAATTAAAACCTGTCTTCCATTCATCCTCATCCCTGATCCTCACTTGGTAGTACGCTTCTCTCAAGTCCAGCTTAGTGAACACCTTCCCTTTGGACAGGTATTCCAGCATGTCTTTCATGAGGGGGAAAGGGGTACCTGTTTTTGGCACAAACCCCATTAATCCCTCAGAAATCAATCTCAGAGAACTGTCTTTTTTTCCCCTTAAGAGTACTGGTGCTGCCACCCTGGATTTTCTGGCTGGATGAAACCCCTAGCCACAAAGTTGCAGAGTTCTTCTATCTTTTCTTAGGGTCAGTGAGTACATCTTTGATTTGGGGAGCTTTGCCCCAGGCAGCAATTCAATTGCAGAATCCATGGGGCAGTGAGGGGGGAGCGTATCCAATTCCTGCTCACTAAATACTTTCGCCAATCTTGGTATTCTTGCTTGGCTCGGCTCGCCTGCTTTCTGCTAGCACTTTGATTGGCTCCATTCCCTCTTTCTCAGCTGACAATGCTCATTT